TGTAACAAAGATGATTTATTACTTAGTTAATATCTGCTGAAATCATGGAAAAAAGATGCACAAATAAGATTCTGTCAACATCATGATGTGCAGCTTAGTCCTTCAGCATCAAAGAAATTTTAGTTGTCTTTTCTTATTATAATCTCTCAGCTGTATGATTAAATTCACTAAGATACTGATGAATAGGAGAAAATATGGACAAAAACATAATCAGTGAGGAAATTTTTTAGTTAGTGAGAGAGTATTTCAAGTTTGTTTTTTTTTTCTCTTTACAATCTGACAACTACAGAAGTGCCTGTTGGATAAAGAGTGCATAATTCCTTAATCATTAAATAACGTTACTCATGAATAAGCTGTGAAAAAATTCAATGTCAGTTGCCTGTCTAATTATATTGAACCTTTTTATTTGCAGAGTTACTATGAAAACATGGGATTGGGTTGTTTAATTAGAGTTACTGCTGAGATAAATATCCTTGCTCATAGTATGAAGCTATGTACCTGACTGTAGAAATAAACATAAACATGTCTTTTGACAGTTTTTCAAAGAAAAAAAATATAGAAGCCAGGAAGTGTTTCAGTACATCATGGTAATAGCGAAAGAGAGGAAGTATGAGTTTAGCACCCAAGAGATAATCAAAATATATAAGGCCTTTCATTAAACATTCTGTGATATTTCATTCAACTTTTATTATTGTTTAGTTGCCTTGAGTTAGAAAGTTTACTTTCATCAGCTACTCAGAAAAATAGCATTTCTTCCTTTTTTTTTTTTTTTTTTTAAGTTCTCGTTACAGTTTTTCTGGGTTTGGTATTCTATGAATTCAGCATTTAGTTTAACAAATTAATGCTTCGTATCAGTGATTATTTAAACTGCTCTGTTTCCCAGCAGTGTATCAGCACTATATTAAGAAGTACATAGATGAAGATCATGATGCACACCTTTGTAAAGGCCCTACAAAGGCACATGGAAAATAAAGATAAGGAAATTGGCGGTAACTAACATGAATTCTCCAAGGGCAAGTTGGAAATGGCTTTAAACTGGAAGAGGGTAGATTTAGACTAGCTATTAGGAAGAAATTCTTTACTGTGTGGGTGGCACTGGAACAGGTTGCCCAGAGAGGATGTGGATGTCCCCCCCCTGGAGGCATTCAAAGATGTACTCGATGAGGCTTTGAGCAACCTAGTCTAGATGGAGGTGGCCCTCCTATAGCAAGAGGTTTGGAACTAGATGACCAAACCATTCTATGGTTCTGTGATATGGTCACAGAAAAGAGAAAGATTGTTTCTGGTTATTGTATTATGTTACTGAAGGTTAGATTTTAAAGTATGTAGAGGCAAAAGGAAGGAAGGTAAAGTGTTCTAATTTTTATATGGGAATTGAAGAGAATATTCTGGGTTGTTACAATTTACACAGTTAGAATGTCGCAGATCCCTTAAAGTTGTAAAACTCTTTGCTGACACCCTCCAGAGATGAATGTGTCAGGAACCTGGTGGAGTAAAATAAATGTCGTAAGTCTGACTCTGCATCCTTATAACAAAAAAACATTTGTGCATCATTACATGGTTTGATCTCACATCTTGATTTGTAAACTAGCAAATGTGTTCTCTGATGAAGGAAGTTAATAACTATTTACTGTTAGTTTGCCTATGGAACAGTAACTATATAAAGGGCAATACAAGATATGAAGGAAAAAAAAAAAAAAGCTATTAATTCCAGCTGAATATACAAGATTTTATCTAGGTTGAAATTTTGCAGTTCTCATCTTAGCTACCAGAAAAATTTTTAATGTTTGATCCAAAAAATGGCATATTGAGTTATATACATGGCGCTATTACATTATTTCATTAATATCTGATAGGAAAGTGAACTATATTCTAAACTACTGAGAATATCTGCACAGCCACATAGTTTTATTTTTCACTTTGCCAGCACTTCTTTGTCTGGAGAAAAATAAATGCAGAGATGTATTATATAGGTAATGACAGCTGAGCTTTTATATTACCACTCTTTCCTATCAGCTTTGCTTCTCTATGAAACCGTTCCTTTTGCAAATGCAAAAAAATATGTAACTGTATAAATCTTCAAAAATTGCATGCCGTTTTTCCTTGTCATTTCTGTATTCAAAATTAGAGGAAAGAATGTTCTTATAAAAAAATTGTAAGTGCAGTATTTCATGTTTCATTCAAATTCAGATTCATAGCCAGTTTCCAGAGATTGACTTAAGCCTTCATACAACCCCATCTGGCCTGCATATGTGTTCGTCTAAAATCTGGGGGAAAAGAATGGAATGGAATGGAATGGAATGGAATAGAATGGAATGGAATGGAATGGAATGGAATAGAATAGAATAGAATAGAATAGAATAGAATAGAATAGAATAGAATAGAATAGAATAGAATAGAATAGAATAGAATAGAATAGAATAGAATAGAATAGAATAGAATAGAATAGAATAGAGGGGATGGGAGGGAAGGGGAAGGGAGGGGAGGGGAGGGGAGGGAAAGGAAGGAGAAAAAGAAAGGGGAAGGGGAAGGGGAAGGGGAAGGCGAAGGGGAAGAGGAAGGTGAAGAGAAGGATAAGGGGAAGGGGGAAGAGGCACCACTGAAAAAATTTGAGTATTTGGAAGTTTTTCAGATTTTTCTCCATGATTACTTAGAGATCACAGAAATTTCCTGGAATGCATACTTTTTATTGTAGGGTAGATTAACTCTATTTTAGCTAGAACAGTCATCATTTCATTAGTCTGCATATTTTCTTTCATTCCAAGTCCCAGTGATCAATATCACTGACTGATAAGTTCTCTTAAGCTGAAAATATTGATTAATTCTTAACAGAACTGCATCTAAGAAATGTGAGCTTGATGCATTTGGTCTGTTAGCAAAAATTCTCAGCAGTTTCCAGAGTTCTTCTGTGGACAGTAACAAGTGAGGAGAATGAATGTAAACACTTTGTACACATAAAAACTTAGAAACACAACTTAGCTCATATGGGACTTCATCTTTCTACTCCGTACTGCCCTTTGATTTCATTATAAGTAAATGAAACTTGTTGGTAGTTAGCAGACTCTTTGAGTGTCAGGAAATAGATGGATACATTTAATTACTGATTTCAAGATGGAATTAAGATACTTAACATGTCTTTAATTTTTAGGAAGAGAATACCTTATTCTCTTATCCTCTAGATAGGGTTTAATAAATTTTATTTCCTTCTGTCATTTAAAAAAAATTAGCTTAACTTAGATGAGTCAGTGATCCTTGTGAGTCTCTTCCAGCTCAGGATATTCTGTAATTCTGTGTTTATGAAGCGTTGCTTGCTATACTATGCAATATTTCATGTTGCTAACTGAAAAGACTTAAGCATTTAGAACAACAGGAACCAGTATTCACTGTGACAGATATGATCTCAGATAAGAAAATAGTATACGTCATGTTTTGCACTTGTACTTTCAAACTTCAAAGGAGGAATCCATTTGCAGATTGGATTGAGTACCATTGATGTTCAGATATCTCCATAGAAGAATATCCATAGAGGGCTTAGGAAATGTGGCTCCATTTAGCACATGTTGCTTAATTAGATCTCTAGTATATTTTCTGTTCTTTTGTATTTTTGTTCTTTTTCATCTTAGAATCATAGAATCATAGAATTGCTTAAGTTCGTAAAGGCCTTAAAGATCATCAAGTCCAAGCATAACCTTACCATACTACCCTAATTCCAACAACCCTCCACTAAATCATGTCCCTGAGCACTACATTCAGATGGTTTTAAAACACATTCAGGGATGGTGACTCAACCACCTCCGTGGGCTGCCTATCCAGTGCTTAACAACCCTTACTGTAGCTAAGTTCTTCCTGATATCTAATCTAAATCTCTCCTGGCACAAATTGAGGCCATTTCCCCTCATCCTGTCACCTGTCACCAGTGAGAAGAGACCAACCCCACTCTCTCTGCAATCACCTTTCTGGTATTTGAAGAGATCATAGTATCATAGAATGGCCTGGGTTGAAATGGACCACAATGATCATGTAGTTTCAACCCCCCTAGTACGTGCAGGGCTGCCAACCACTACACCAGGCTGCCAGAGCCACATCCAGCTTGTCCTTGAATGCTTCCAGGAATGGGACATCCACAGCCTCCTTGGGCAACCTGTTCCAGTGCTTCACCCTCCTCTGAGTGAAAAATGTCCTCCTAATATCTCATCTAAACATTTGCTGTCTTAGTTTAAAACCATTCCCCATTGTCCCATCACTATCCACCATCGTAAATAATAATAAATAGTATTGAAATAATATTAGGTACAGTCTAGACCTTTCTTATGTTTTTCTAGATATGCAGGATAGACATTGAAATGGTCAGGTAAGGACAAAGCTTGTCTGTAGCTAGCATAGCTAAATGACCATCATTGCACTGCAAAGAATAATATCATGGCCTGGTCTAGTTAAAAAGAGGAGGATAGACCAAACTGTGTTAATAGAATCCCCAGTTACAGTGTGACTAGAATCCCCGCTTGCAGTGTGGGAAGTAGTAGAAAGTTTACCTCCAAATCACAATAGAAATATGTAAGACTCATTTAGTATAATGTTTCCCACTATATTCAACTCAGTAAGCAGAATATCAACAACATATATTGAGTTGCAGATGACATTACACATAAAGCTTGATTCCATAGAAAGCTCATTGCCTCCACTGTTTTTCATTGTTAAGAACATGTGTTTTTAAAACATGTTGCCATGTGCTTTATTTCTATCACAGTCTGAAGCCTGAAATTTCAAGATGCAAGGACAACATAATGAATAATTCTAAAGTCTCAGTTGCTTGTAATATGAATTAAAGGAGTTTACATGTTGCAGAGCACTGACATCTTTCATAAAAGCTTGTGTTCATATTCAGAAATACGCGCCATTCATATGAGTATTACGAAATTTTAAAACTTGAATGCCATAAAAATAAGCACAAAGCTCAAGATAGTCCTTTCATGTTTTCCTCCTATGTTCATTTCTTTTAGTGCTGGAGTCGGCAGGACTGGCTGTTTCATTGTGATAGATGCCATGTTAGAGAGAATAAAGCATGAAAAGACTGTAGATATTTATGGCCACGTAACTCTAATGAGAGCTCAGAGGAATTACATGGTTCAAACTGAGGACCAATACATCTTTATCCATGATGCACTGCTGGAAGCAGTGACATGTGGAAATACCGAAGTGCCAGCCAGAAACCTGTATGCATATATTCAGAAGCTGACACAGATAGAAACAGGAGAGAATGTCACAGGAATGGAACTGGAATTTAAGGTACTGAAATCTTATGCTGTGGGAAGCCAACATCAAACTGTGTAACTATTAATGCTGCTATGTCCTTCATCAACCGTATTCAGTAATTGGAAGCTAGAATATTTTCCAGCTAAAATTTTTGAATTGGGAAGATAGTCCTTTGTAAAATGTGAAGTTCTATCTTCAGTCAGTCTTCAGACAAGAATTGTTCAATTTTAACCATATTCTTCTTTATTGTTTGAATAGCTTGAAATATGTATTTTTGTAATGGTTTAAAACTCAAGTTTGTCCATATGGATTAATAAGGTTTTAAAACTATTATAGAATGCTAAAGGGTGCTTGACAAATATTTAGATAATACAACAGAATATGGTAAAATAAAACATGAAATGATAAACATATGTCATTAGACTTGATAATGGCATTTCTTTTTGTTATATATGATTTTAATTATTTTAATTCATTTATTTTGCACAGCGTCTTGCTAGCTCTAAGGCTCACACTTCAAGATTCATCAGTGCCAATCTTCCTTGTAATAAATTCAAGAATCGCCTTGTCAATATTATGCCATATGAGTCTACAAGAGTATGCTTGCAACCAATCCGAGGAGTGGAAGGGTCTGATTATATTAATGCCAGTTTTGTGGATGGATACAGGTATTAATGTTGTGTTCTCTGGGGACTGTTTTTAAATTTTATAAAGTGTGTAGCAATGTTGAAAATAACAGATTTAGTATTGAAATCCAATATTTTTAATAACTGTGCATGTCCTGTTTTTTATTTTGTTTTGTTTTGTTTTGTTTTGTTTTGTTTTTGTTTAAATGGTTTTGTTTGTTTGTTTAATGGTTTTAAATTTCGACCCATACAATTCAGGAAAGTTGTGTAATATGCAGCCATAAGTGTATGGTTTTACTTACCTTCAAACCAATCATTTTTACATACTGAAACTTATTAAGATTTTGGTCACGTTCATGATCTGCAACTTCCATTTCTTCACAACTGTTCTGCTAAATATGTATGTAAAAAAACTCTCTAATAAATAAGATACAGGAAATAAACTGCCCATGTCAAAGTGATAACATAGAAAGTTGGAACACTGATTAAGATGAGGCCTCACTACAACAGAACTTTTGTGTGTAAATAGTTGTGTAGCCCACCATCTTGATGGCAAACACAAGAGCACACTCTCACCTGATTTATGCAGCTCATAGGAAAAAGTATGGAAGAGAAGCAGTAATGTTTCCCTAAGGCAGTTTAGGTGCGCCTGAGTATCTGTGTCCACAGAGAGCATTTTCTGAGTCTCTGCCCTAATGTGGAACTAGTCTTCTTCGCCAGTGTCACCTACACAGTTGTTTCTGTTGACTGAAACAAGCAGGAGCACGATAAACTGGTCATCATCTTACAAAGCTCCTTTGTAAGGTGCTTTACAAAGATGCGGAAGATTTCAATAGCTTCCTGGTTCTTTCCAAGACTAGGAGATTATGGCCTAGAAACACAGTATATTTTATTCCTGAGTATTCTTCCTTCATTCCTGTTGCTGGAGACATCAGACTGTTGAAAAGGAATTAAAGTGGAAACAGCTCAATGCTATAATTCCTAAATGTAATAGATTGTACAACAGTTATTTCTATGAAATGAGCCAGCACAAGTGTTTCTTAAGTGTTTTTTACAGCACATAAAATTGATCTATTAGTTGCATTAAAATTTAAATAATAACGATAAAAGCATGCATCATGATATTAATAATTTCTTCACAAGGTTCTAAAAATAAAGCTGTAGTTTGATTAAGAAATCATATTAAGACTTCAATTTATTATTAACAGTATTTTTTTCCTCTAGACAATGCTTACATATAAATAGATAACATATGTATCAACTTACATTTTTGATTAAAATATTCTTCTTAACTTACCATTTTTAATAACAGACAACAGAAAGCTTACATAGCTACACAGGGTCCCTTGGCAGAAACAACTGAAGATTTCTGGAGGATGCTGTGGGAGCATAATTCTACAATTGTGGTCATGCTTACTAAGTTACGAGAAATGGGCAGAGTAAGTTACTGCTCTAATATTATTTTACTGAAATATTCGCTGTTACTATTATTATACTTTCTTACTAAAATATTTCATTGTTATGAGAATGTCAAAGGATAAAGATGGGAATTTAGGTATTTTCTCCATTGGGAAATAAGTGAGTCTGATGGTCACCAGATATGTTTTTCTAATGTATAGATGTGTTATAAGAGATGAGCTGGACATTGCATTTTGTTGTGGGACACACTGAGATTCAGCAACTCATTTTGCAAGTTAATATTCCAACAAAAGCAGAGAGAGCATTTCTATCTGCTAATTCTAATTTGGAAATATGTTTTGCTTCATCTGTTTAAACATTTTCATGTCAAAAAAAGGGTAGTATTTTTAACAGCTGAATGGCTGAATGTTTTCTGTGAGCTCTTTGTGCTGGACTTTGAAGTTTCAGCTGTCTGTTTACAATCCAAAACTCATTCATATTTGTACTTTAACTAATGGAAAGAAAGAAGCAGTTTCCTATCCAGACAGGATTACCTCAAGACATCAAGCTGGTATGTACTAAGTGAAATATGAATACCCATGGTTTTGGGGAGTGGAGATGATCCAGGGACTTTGGATTTAGAGATGAAAAATCTTGAATGAGGCTTGGGAGACTGACTTCAACAGACAACAAGGACTAAAAGTGGTTTCAAGATTTAAATTCCATTCTCTTTTGGAAATCAGGCTTGGGATAGTGCCTGTAACATTAAGTAATAGAACTAGGTAGATATATAAAGTAATTCAGAGGTACAGTGACAAGAGCAAACTTCTATGCAGTTCAATATTGATGATAATCTTTCAATTCTACGAATGGAACTTCATGTTCACAGTAAGATGAACAGTTAATGTTCTTGTCACTAATAGCATTTTACATCAGTGTTATACTTACTGAGTGAGAAACATATTAGCGTAGTTGTCTGGAGTAACAGAAAATATATTTTGTTTTGCTTTGTTGTAGGAAAAATGCCATCAGTATTGGCCTGCAGAGCGTTCAGCCAGATATCAGTATTTTGTGGTAGATCCAATGGCAGAGTACAACATGCCACAGTATATTCTGAGGGAATTCAAAGTTACAGACGCAAGGGTAAGTTGCAACAGCATTACTCTTTCACATAATTTTTAAATAGTATTTAAACTCCCTTCTCTCTTTCTCTATCAAGTAAAGATCTCTAAAGAAGTGCTTTCCACTATTCAATAAAAAGTGTATTTATTATTTAAATATACGCTATATTTATTTACTTCATTACACATGAATAATATCTTTCAGGAAAACTGACTTCATTCAGATCTAATATCTTAACAGCACAGCTCTATAAGGTTCTGAATAGCTATTTGGGTTAAAGCACATTAGATAATGTGAAGGCCATTTTCTCTTTCTCATCATTTCCCTCCTGATCTTTCTGGGGGAGAATTTTTGTCACTTGCAGCTGTAAATATGTTGTTTTGCACACCCTCTAGGTTGAGAGAGTGTGAAGGTTAATACAGTGAAATTTAAAAACTGCAGAGCAAATAGCATTCGCAAGAAAAGCTTGACAAGCTTTGCACATTATAATTTGATTTTTGGCATAGCTTATTTTCAGCACTCTTGAATATCTGCAGAATAGATATGTGCAGCTGTGACCCTAGTATCCTCATTTTCATACTACATTTCTTATCTGAATTCCTGAGTCTGAAACTGAACAGTGATATATGTAGTAAGATTAAAGGCACATAAACTTTTAATACATATTTGGTATTTCTCAAACTTTTGATTTCTAGCACTTTACTCTGCATGGCAGGAAAAATTACTGGCAACCTTCATTTCAATATGTGCTAATAGAATGCTGTTTGTTAAAGCAAAATAGCAGGTTGCAGAAACTCCATGTCCAGAAAGTCCATGAGTGATTACTTGGAGTTGCCAGTCATCTTCCAAAATATCAATTTTTTTTCATGGTTAGCTGAAGTGCTACATTTAGCTTCCAGCAAAATTAGGTACTACTGACACTTAGCTAGATGATATTGTCACTAACCATGCCAGTATATGAACATCTTAATTTCTAAAGTGATAATTAAATATTTTTTTAAAAGGAACTGCAGATTCAATTTGAGTCTGATTTTCAATCTAATTGAAATGTAGTAAGATCACATGAACTATACCTTTTGTAACCTTTCTATGTTTAGCAGAATTCGAGAATAGCATCCTATCACGAGTTTTTAACCACACTAAGCAAAAGAACTTCTTTTCAGACTATCTATTAAAAATCTGTTTTATCTCAAGCTGAAAAAATCTTATGTGACATAGTCTGCATAAAATGACAATGATAACAAAAAAAACCCACAGATATAGCTGAAGGAACATGTCTGAAAAATATGTGTTTTAGAAAAAATTCATTCAGGATTTTATAATGAAATACTATATTGATCTGAATTCTGTTTATTTATAGCCAGCAAACCATTAAAATGTTAATGGTTAAGGATTAAATACCTTAATTTGCCAATTCTTTTTTAATTGATCCTATTATTTATGCACCTTTTAAACATTGCGAACCATATGTGGGCAGACTGGGTGGAAAGCTGCAGGGAGGAAAAGAATCTGGAAGTGTGGGTTGAAGCTCGACTAAACATGAGCCAGCAGTGCTCAGGAGGCCAAGAAGGCCACCAGCATCCTGGCCTACATCAGAAATAGTGTAGCCAGCAGGAGCAGGGAGGGGAACGTCACCCTATTCTCAGCCCTAACAAGGCTGCACTGGTGAGTACTGTGTCCAGTTTTGGGCCCCTCACTACAAGAAAGACGTTGAGGCACTGTCTCCAGCAAAAGGACAATAGAGCTGATGAGGCGTCTGGAGCTGACTTACAATGACTGTTTGAGGGAACTGGGATTGTTTGGTCTTGAGAAAAGGAGAGCTTATAACTCTCTATACCTACCTGGAAGGAGTTGGGAATTGGCATCTTCTCCTGCAAGATAGGATGTGAGCAAGTGGCCTCAAGTTGCTCCAGGGGAGGTTCATATAGGATATTAGAATGAATTTGTTCTCTAAAAGAGTGGTCAGGCACTGGAATGTGTTGCCTAGGGAGCTGGTGAAGTTAATGTCCTCAGAGGTGTTTAAGGAGAAGTAGATGTTGTACTTGGGGATGTGATTTAATGGGCAATATTGGTAGTAGGTGAATGGTTGGATTGGATCATCGTAGATGTCTTTTGGAACCTTAATGATTCAACGATTCTATAATTTTGATATATTATGTAATTGTGTATTATTGTTTCTCAAATTTAAAGCATCTCTATCTTAATGGTCTCAGTTTTGTTAAGTAACTCCCTGGAAAGCTTTCAAGGCCATCTTAAATTTTCTGAATGTTCTAGAAAACTACAGCTTCCTCTAACTTCACTGGAAGAAGTGAGGACTACTTTTCAAAACTGTAATTTTCATGCCTGTATGACTGTTCTCTACAATAATTAAGACCATGTAACTATATTGTTTTATTCAAAGGAGAATAAATATTGCAGCAGTTATAACACTCATTTCCAATTTGATCCATGCTGTTAGTTACCAATAATACTCTGGCAGACCTGAGTTGGCAAATTATTCTCGAGACAACAAAGGAGCACGGTGCCTTTGTAGGGAGCAGCACCAAATTTTTGGTGTGGGTCTTCCTGTTATTTCTGAAACTGAGCTGTGAATTGTTGTGAAATTGATGTGAAATTGACCTCTGTAACTGATTCAATCTACTGCTTCTGTCTGCTTTATATTCACTTTCTCTGTAAACTCCAAAGGTCACTATGATGAGGCAGTCTCATTTAAAGCTAGACTATTAGTAAGGAATGTAAGAGAATATTATAAATTCTACAGCTCATAAAAAGACAACTGAACGTCCCCTGTGAGAAGCAGGAAGAAATCAGTTAGCTGGGCAACTGTTATATTAAGAGCTTTGTGTTATATTAAGAGCCTTGTGATTCATACAGGGATCTGAAAATTTGTATGTTGTTTTGTTAGTACTTCTTGCCCTGTGTATGCAAACCTTGACAATTTCTGAAGGGAAATATTTTAATAAAAATTGACATTTGTATTTGGACTGTTACTGCCAAGCATCTCATTAAAAGACAGCAGCACTTTTTATAATGTCAGTAACAGAAGGAACCAAGAAATTGAAGGTAGGTTCCCCATATGCTGTAATGCTAATCCAACATTAGACTAACTACCTTTACTTCTGTGCTCATTAAATAGTACTAAACAGTAAAAGTTATTCCCACTGAAACTAAATGAAAACAGTTTTCAAAGATTTGCACTAGGCTACTGAGTTATTTCTATCTTGAAATAAGTAACAATACATTGATTTAGACACATCTGAAATAAAAAAACTTGTCATCAGAACTATTTCTCACATAGCAGTTTGTCTTTCCAGTGATAACAAAGACTTAAATAAAATGGCACATTTCTTATGCTTTTACCCCTTAAAAAGTTACTCTTATCCTAACCTAATTCCTGTGTCAGAAATCTCTGAACAGTTTCCATCCATTAAAGTCACAGAGTAATAGAAATATTTGAGTTGGAAGGGACCTTAAAGGTCATCTAATCCAACTCCCCTGCAATGAATAGGGACATCTACAGCTAGATTGGGTTGCTCATATTCCCTTTAGATATTGAACAGCTGCTATCCGGTCACCTCAGAGCCTTCTCTTCTCCAGGCTGAACAGCCCTAGTTCTTTCAGCCTGTCTTCACAGGGGAGATGTTCTATGCCTTGGATCATTTTTATAGCCCTCTGGTCACAATCCAATGGTCTATGTCTCCTGTACTGAGGATTCCATGTCTGGGTACAGTACTCCAGGTGAGGTCTCACCAGCAGCACAAAGCAGGCGGGCAGGGAGGATCTCCCTTGACCTGCTGGCCAGCTTCTTTTGATGCAGCCCAGGATATGTTTTGCTTTCTGAGCTGCAAGGGCACTTTACTGGCTTTCGTCCAGTTTACCATCCACCACTGTCTCCAAGTTCTTTTTGTCACAGCTGTGCTCAGTCTTTTCATTCCCCCACCGATCTCCATCTGCCGCTGACCACAACTCTCTGGGTACAATCTCGCAACTAGTTCCTCATCCATCAAATGGTCCACCCATAAAATCCACATATTTCCAGTTTGGAGGGGAGGATTCTATGAGGGACAATGTCAAAGGTCTTACTAAAGTCCAAATGGATGACACCAGTTCTTCTTCCCTTGTCCATTGCTGCATTTACACCATCATAGAAGGCCTCTAGGTTGATCAGGAAGGACCTGCCATGCTAGTCAAATCTTATCACGTCCTCTCTTCCATGTGCCTTACTGTAGCTTCCATAAGGATCTGTTCCTTGATCATCCCTGTCACAGACATGAGGCTGATAGGTTGGTAGTTCTTAGAAATTGATCCATCATTGCCTTTTTTTCCAGACCTTGCATCCCTTGCCTAGCCCAGTTCCAGTTGGTCAATGGCCTTTGTGAACCCATCTCTACACAGTCTAGCAGCATCTCTATACTCACTCATGCCACAACGCTTGTCTTCCACTGCCTGTGCATTTTCTTCTTGCTCTACAGTTTGACCAGCAGATCTCAGTTCTACCATGCTGGTCTCTTGCCTTCATTTCCCAGCTTCCTGCACCTGGGGATATGCCTGCTTTGCTTCACTCCTGTGTCCTTGAGGACAGTTTCCCAGTAATTTTTATTGACGAACTCCACAAGAAGCTGGAAGCTGGCTCTCCTAAAATTTAGTGTTCCAATTTTACTGGCTGAATAGCTGCAAGCAAATCAGACTTAAAGTTTTGTTTCTTTACTCTGGGGAAATGGGAGGTAATTTGGGGAGGAATCAACCTATTGCTTTTTCTTCTTGATTACTTAATATTGTTTGTCTTTAGCTGTCTGAAAGATGCAATTTCGTTATTTCTTCTTGAGGGAAAACGGCATTACAACAGTCACTGTGAGAGAAATTTGTATTAACAAAGTGCCATTTCTAATGCAAAATACTTTTTTTTACTTGTATGGATATCTACTAGAAATAAAATTGGCTTAACATTTTTGAATAAATACTCTTTTATTTAAGTGACCAAAAACATTCCACAGAAACAGACTGTTAGTTGTCATAGTGGTCTAGTAAGAAGCTAAGAGAGTGTGTTCTTTCTTGAAGTGGTGAGTGGTGCACACACTCATTTTGTTTTCTTATTCAGCTGAGACATGGGAAACAAAAAAAATGTGGTACCAGAGGAAACATAAAAGTGAAGTATTATTTTTTCCTCTGGTTATTTTTAAAATGACTTCTATTTTGTTTCAAAGGTCTGTAGTAGAGTGGTTGTGGTAGAGAAAAAAATAAGGGATTGTTCTTGCCTCCAGCATAACTTGTTGCTTTTTGTGAGATCTCCACATTTCAATTTTTTATGAGATTCACTTGGTAGCAGACCATTTTGAAGACATTGCAGGGTCAATGCTTAGTAAATAATAATATGTCCAGAGACACTAGTTTACATCAGTAGTTCAATTTATGCCCATGCTTTCAAATACTTCAGTTGTATCGATTCAGCATCAAAACTATACAAAACAATGTTTGAAAATTGAAAACTCATTTACTTCATCCATTTGTTATGTACATTTCTTGACTGCTTCCATCTCATGTAGGTATGAAGCAAAAATCTGAGTTTGTGGTGGTCTTTAGTACTTCTTTTGACATTCTAATAGATATGATGAAGCTGAAGCATTATCTGGTAATCCTGTTAGTATTCCTAAACAAGGAGAATGAAAAGCTTCAGCTGACATTTCAAGAGAGGAAGTGTTTTTTTCTACATTTTTACTGAGTCTGAGCTCATAGTGAATGAAATTACAATGATTCAAATGGATGTTTATGGTTTGTTGAACAACTAATATCTCTTGAACCTCTTCCAGACAAATGTGCACTGCACAAAAAAAGCTCTATTTTATTAAAGAAATTCTCTGCAAACAAGACAATGACTAAACAGCTCTTACTAGTGAAGATATTTCTGTCATTCAGTAGAGCATATCTACAAAATATAGAGGCAGGTCAGACGACCTTATTCTATTATTTTTTTTGTTGGTTATTTTTGTTTGTTTGTTTTTTGGTTAGAATAAATTTGCAATCTACAGGATTTGAAACATAAATTACAAAAAAAAAAAAAAAAGTATAAATTGTTGAGACAGTTATGAAATTGTTGAGATAGTTATGCTTTTAGCCTTAAACATTTTTTTATACATACATAATATCAGACAGTTCTCCTATCTACTGCAGAAAGAATTGTGTATTATGTTGTAGTTAATGAAATTCCATGCCACTGTGACCGAAATCATAACTAAGTATTGTGATTGAAGAAGTCTTCATAGTTATGATTATGGCCATCTCTCACTTCCTCCCAGTGTTCTTTTCTTCTTGATCTTCTTTTTTGGCTTTTTTAGCTGTTGACTGGCTTCCAGCCACTTGTGGTATTCTTTGGGAATATATTGTTTCTGTCTTCTATTAAAGGATGGCCAATCCCGAACAGTGAGGCAGTTCCAGTTCACCGACTGGCCAGAACAAGGAGTGCCAAAATCTGGAGAAGGATTTATTGACTTCATAGGCCAAGTGCATAAAACAAAAGAACAGTTTGGTCAGGATGGACCAATCTCTGTTCATTGCAGGTAAGAAAATAAAGCCTCAAAACAACTTGTGCAGATTTTTTTTCTATTTAATTTGGTTGCTGATTACAATGAAAACGTGTATGTAAGTAGAAGTTTGTAGGCAAATTATCAGAAGTGTAACCAAATAGAACACCTGAAAAAAAGCACAAAGCTTTATGAATTGGGAACTTTTCTGTGATAAAACTCTATTCACACAGAAAAGTTGTTCTTACAAAATATGTAGAAGCATGTAATATGTTGCTACTTTTAAAAATGTCTCTAATGCAGGATAAATTTATATCAGTGCTGCACTCGAAAAGCAGTAGGAAGGACCTTAGTTGCTGCATCAGATCTTTTTTTCCACTCATAATTAAAAGTCAGACATTTACATTGGTGGAGATTGCTATGTATAAACAACTCCTGAGTATTTCTCCTGACTAATACTTTAGTAGCAATCAAGTTGAGCCAGAGAAAAACAGCAGCTACTTCAAGACAGTGAATAGGATGGAAAATATTTAGAAGCTTTGCGTGTTAGAAAGTCATTAGGGCTTGGAATGGTGAGTTTAAACTTCAGAATTGCTCATTTTTTAATGTGATGATTTCTCTCAATCCCTCCCTTTACAATTACTATGTAGATGAAAAAAGCTTGGAGAGTATAAGGAATAATCCAGGGTGGGCTTTTAAAATATTTTTAATATTCTTTAGTAATGTTTTTTATTTACTTTATCTATGGTATTCTAAAGTCTGTAACAGATGGCCAAAAATAATATCTTAAACTTCTATCTCTTATTTAATAAATTGCTTTCTATAAATTCCATTAGGATTTTAGACACTCATTTTGTAACATTGAATTATTTTTGATAGATGAAATGATATTTTTTATATAACAGAGATGGAAAGTATTGATATATGTTCCAAATCCTTTCTGCAAGCCAAGTACTGCCCTAATACTAGTACAAGGACAAAAATGAGGTAGTTTACTTAAGCTTATGTACGTGTAGTGAGTGAGAAATTCTTTTCCTTTCAAAACTGTCAGTGAGCAAAATTTGTTAAGAGCATCTATATGCTTTAAAAGAGATTGCTGTGCTCCCCTAACCTGAAAGCCTAACAAATTAGTTGTAGCAGACAACTTGAATCCTACTTTTTCTGTTTGCCTAATACTTTTTATAGCCTTCTAAGGGGATCATCTGAGACTGGGATTCATTTGGCAAGGGAAGGTGAAGTACAGCCATAACAAGAATTAACCTTATACTTCCTGACATAAATAAATTTAGAGAGTAGAGGACAAACAAGCAATATTTATGCCTATATGCAAAAAAAAAAAAAAAAAAAAAAAAGAATGAAGAAAGCATATAAAAAAGTGACGAGAAGGTGATCTTCTTTGTTCTTTTTACCATGAAAATTTATCAATTCATAGCCGAAATGAAGTGCTACGGACAGTAAGTTATGGAAACATTCCAAATAGTTGTGATCTTTTGTGCTGAAGTTATGGAGATTTCTACCATTGATTTTGATAGAAATGAAATCACATGTAATATAATCATGATTTAGTGTTTAATTTTTTTTCATAATCATAATGACAATTTTCAGATCAGAGTTATTAATCATCATTATAAATGTTAGTCACGTTATTTGAATAATAAATATCTCTGGCAAATTGGTAAGTTTATTTATTTATTCATTTTCATGAAGTATGAGATCCAGTCACTTAGCCTATATGGAATTCTTACAGTAATGTCTCCAGTTTGTACTATAATAAATTCTTAAAAATACGTTCTATAGAGTGAATTTCTTGAAGCAACAAATTCCTCTAATATCAGTTCCATGTAGTTTTCATCCCACTGTACACATTTTTTCTCCAGTTTGCTTTCTGTACTACATAGTAATGCTTGCCACCAACAATATCTAAACATTCACCTCTTTCATTTTTGCAAACAGAACAGCATGTATTTAAATTTCTAACTTAATAAGATAGTTAATTAAAAAAATAGTTTTAATATCAAGATATTGCTCACCTTTAAGAAAAATTTTCAACTGAACCAATCTTAGGTATTGACCTGTATGTTAAGAGTTCTTTATCCAAATATGTCTGACTGTGTCATCAACTGTGAGATAATGGGTTGCTTAATTTCCACCCATAAAAGTTCAGATTTAGAACATAGCTTTCTCTGTGTTCGTACATGTTTCCTTTTCCAAGAGTTCTTGGAATATTTTTCTTTTTCTGAATTTCACAAACAGGTAATTATTTAAAGTTAGTATCTGGCAACTAATCCCTCTGTTAATTAGAAGATTTTCTATAAATTCCTGGGATGTTAGCTAATAAAAGGAATCCAAGACAGAAAAAATAGCAAATGTGACATATATTCAAAGACATATATTCTACATCCAGGCTGATGTAGACAAAGACTGTGTATGTATATCAGTATTTGCATGTTAAAGATTCAGAATACAAAACTTGAATAAAGGCAGTCTTAGATTTTCCTTGTTCTGTTATTTAAATTTTAGAGTGTATATGAACAATTTCAATATTACTTGAAGTCCAGTGATTGTCTCTAACTCAATGTAGATCAACTAAAGCACTGAAGGTGTGCAAAACAGAGGCTATAAATGAATACAGCAAAGAAAGTAGCAAAATACATAATTACATTTTTCTTTTGTTATTTACAGCATAGGTCATTGACAACAAATGCTCTCATTTTCCTTCATCATGCAGTGATTAACTATGTGCCTGAATCAGTAAGCCAAGTAACTTTGCAATGAAGACTGGAAAGTCAGGAGGTTCTTAGTAGCGTGTGAAGTCTTCTTGAGTTCTAAAACTCATGTGAAAGTTCACTGTGCAATTTTGCTTACTGAGCCTTTCCCTCTATCGGAATCTGTACACATGTGATGTGTTGTATCCAGAGATAATTTGTCAGCCAATTCTTTCAACATTAACTGTCAATTAACATTCCTTTTCTCCCATCATTTTTCTTCTATTATTGCAAAAGTGCGGGTGTTGGAAGGACTGGAGTATTCATAACTCTGAGCATTGTGTTGGAAAGAATGAGATACGAAGGTGTTGTAGATATCTTCCAGACTGTCAAAATGTTAAGGACACAGCGGCCAGCCATGGTACAGACAGAGGTGAGAAAAACAATTTCTATGTAAAATGTTGATGAAGTGGTATGGATATTTCTGTACACCCAAAGATTCACAGAGGAAAGCCCCAAAATTTGGTTTATTTATATCTTAAGTCACACAGTAACTGTATGAATACGATGCAAAATCCACTGTGAAGGTGTTGCAACGTGTTCCTGTTTTGGCACTAAACACTGCTGGAAGGGGAATCATAGGATAATTTCAGTAATGGAGTCTAAATGATCACAGTTCAGCAAAACATTTTCCCAGAACCAGTATCCATTTTCATTTGAACCTTTCCTCTCTGAAAGAAATGTTACGTGATAAAGAAGGAAGAAAATTGCTTATATAGGTTGATTCACTGAAATTTTTATGTTGCAAGAGCAAAAGGCTTTGGAACGAGGCTGTATTATTTTCACAGTTGACTTTGGATCATCAAGCAATTGACTGTCTGGCTTGAAAATCATGATGGTAAATTGAGCATCAGGAAAGTACAGTGTAGATAGTTTCCATACTAGCAATAATGCTATACAGAAATATGAAGAAGGACGTGCAGCATCAACTGATTTTCTATGCCTGGATGCTTGTAATTGTAGCTGTGTCATGTCACAATGAATACTTAAACTTTCAGCATGTACTTTATTTCTACTTAAATTTTTGAATGGGAGATTTGAACTGATCTGTAGTCAATAGACTACTCAGCAAAAGGCAAAGAGAAGGGAAGTATTTTAGGTCATACTTTTATTTAATAGAATTTCACTGACATTAACCTTTAAATTAAATTAAATAATTTTTTAGATGATTCCCCAGAATTTTCCATTAAAAAATTACATTTCTTCAGTCAAAGCTAGATTTTATTATTTTTAGGAAGAAACACGCATATGTTAAGAAGAAAAACACATGGAAATGCAGATATTCTAAGTCTTGTCAGTCAAGTGTATTATTGTTACCAAACTGACTTACTAATTCAATTTATGTCTCTTAATTAGTATTATTCTGAATAAACAATAACTATTTGCTTCCAGGAAATCACATATACTGTGATTAGTATAGTATACTGGAAAGCTGTGCTTCTTGAAGCCAACTTGACAAGTTATATGTATTATCCCTCCTACTTTGATTTTGTTTTCTGTATGCCACCCTTTAACCTCTCTGCTGAAAATAGGTGCTAGGTACTCATACATTTTAGGATTCTGTGGAAGATGAATCTCTCGTTCAGTATGATAAAGTGCCAATAAATCTAGTCTTCATTCAAGAAGGCAATTGTACTCCACATATTTACTTAAAATTTAGGAGAACATCTAATGTATTCTCCAATAGTTCCGACACAGGACAGAAACGATCACATCACTAAATGGAAACAAATGTCTAACACATTTCCTGGTCACTAAAAGAATTTTAATTGTGATATGAACAAGTACAGCATGTAGTACTATCAGATAAATAAGAAGGATATTGGATTCATTAGAGATTTAATCAAATTGTACACCCCATTGAACTTTCTCTGCTTCCAGGTACTGGTTGAAGTGCAATGTGTTTCATGTTAATAAGGTGTTTAGCTACATATACCTCCCATATTCCCTGTTCTTGCCACAGGGTAAGGAATCTTCACACCCTCATCAAAGCTTGTATTGCTGAAAGGTTCTCCGTGCTTCCTAATCCGCCTTTTAACTTTGCAGTTTTCTGTGTTCCATTCAATATTAAGGCTGTGGTAAATTTTGGCATTTAGCATGATATATTTGCTATGGAGTGAAATGGCTGTTTTCCTACTTGTTTTCAAATAAATGGGAAAAGACATCCTAGCATGCTCCTATAAGAAGAAAATTTTATGATTGTATTAATTCACTTTAGCAATTTTGAATAAATGATTATACAGTTTCTGCTCCAAAAGAAGATGCATTCTGTAGAAAGTGTTATTGTGTTAAAAAAGTGCCTGTCTACATCTGTTGTAACTCAAACTGCTCTCCTACGGATGCTAGCTAGAGAATATTGCTGAACTATAGATGCTTCTGCAGTATATTCACCTATAACCACAAAGTGTTTATTCTTAGTTGAAAGAAAATAGAAACCAACCAGCAATATGGCTTTTTGATGCTTCATTTTCTATCTTTCTATCTCCAGGATCAGTATCAATTCTGCTATCGGGCCGCACTGGAATATCTGGGCAGCTTTGATCACTATGCAACATAAAAACCCATCCTGGATTTTTATTGCAGGCCCTTCAAGATCCAGAGAGCCGCTTCTGAGCCATACAATGTGCTTTAGAAGTACTTCTTAGCTCTTAGCTATGGAGCAATTATTGGGGATATAAAATAAATTAAAAAAAAAAAAAATTTTGGGGATATTTAAAAACAAAACAGACCCAACAATTCCATGTGGACCAAGAATTCACAGTTTAATAACCTAACCATAATAAAAGAATCCTGACCACTGAGGCGTCTGAAGGATCTCATTTACAGATACCTCAAGGGTTCAGCATTGTTTGAAGTTAAAGGGAAGAGGAAATTGTTGGAAAGAGCAACCATCTTGTTTAGGCCTGCATGCCTTTTGCAAAGAGGAATTTCGAGAACTGCAATTCAGCACAAGATATTTGTTGAAAGGTCAGGAACTGGCTTCAAGACAAAACAGACTCTTTACTTCAACAGTACCCCTTCCCATCATATTGCTCATGATAACACTTTAGGGAAAATGTGAGAATGTTTAAAAAGAAAGTCCTTGATTTAGTTTTTTAGTATTGTAAAGATACTGCTGACCTGTGCTTCATTTTTAACTGTGTAAACTTTTTCCTTTTTTTAACAAGAGTTTATCATTCGATGACGTGAATTAAAGAAAAAGGTTGCATAACTGTTAATTTTTTTTGTTTAAAAACTGTAATTTTTTTTAAGCTGTAGAACTCTTATCTGTAATATTGTGCTGTAGAATGTTAAATAATTTGAAAATTTGCACATTATTGTGCAGTTCTGTATCTATCTACAGTACCACAGTCTTGTTAGACATTATTTTACACTTCTGTTTGTTTTAGTTTTCTTTAAGAAAATACTCATTGTAATCAGTTAAATCAACATGGGACTTTTTGTTTCTTTTGGAATCAACAGGGAGGCGCAAAGTATAAAGATGCTGCTACCACACACGCACACATTCACGCATACACATGTACATGCACATGCACAACCTCTCTCTTTCTCTCTATATATGTACTTATTACTGTCAATCCTTATCTGGCTCTCTGTAGTTACAGAGATACAGAGAGGTAGATACACACACACACACACACACACACACACAAACATACCAGTTCTTCTACAACCTGGATTTATCGAAGCATTTGAAAAGTTTCTCAGCATACTGCAATTACATTATATCAATATTTAGTCACCTCTGCATTTCCAAGATCCATAAACTTATTTTTCTAAGGGAAGTAAGGAATGCACATCACTGATATTTGAACATAATCTCTATACCAAACAGTATTTCTCTCCACATTGCATAGATATCACACATATGCACACACAAGCATATTTATGCACACACGCACACAGAATATGTGGTTTAGACTTCCAGTGAAGTTCAATATTTGTAACATTATAGTGCAATAAGAAATCATATTATTAAATGTTAGGAGGTGTGCATGTGGGAAAGATCAGTGCATATCCCTTTAGGAGGGGGGAATGTTGTAATATACTAGATATTAAGACGTTTTCAAATTGTATTCAATAACAATGTCTATAGTGTGTGCTTTATCATTTATGTATGTAACAGGGCAAAGCCAAACACACATTGCTCTGTGAAATCGAAAGTTTTGTGGCATACAGTGTTGTTTGGGGATGCTGGTTTTTATTTTAATTTTACATTTAGAGTGCCTTATATTTGATGCCTGTTTTGAATAGCATTTATTTAAGTTAGCCTTCATTTGTATTTAGTTCAGTTTATTCATATATGTTATTCTTTTCAAACATTTTAATACATGTATCATACAATTTTGAATAATATGCATTCCCAGTTTCTATTCAAATATGGTTGATAATAAATGATAACCCAAAACATGTAGATATTCAAGGCCCTGTATATTTTCATATTTCCAATAGATAACCAGTCTACAATTTAAATACCTTTTTTTTGGTTGACCTATCATGTCACTAATCATAGTGTTATCATTACAGAGATGTAGCAGTACCATAGCAGTTGTCGAGATTAGCAGTAATAACATCCATATTATTGTTTTGAGTTAGGTCTAACTCCTGCTTATTCCATTGTGTCCATAGATTGCTAAAGTCAAACCATTCCTTTTATTAAGGCCAGCAAGATTAAGCTGGAAGAATTTATTTGAGAATGGTGCTGCATTTTCTTCCACAGGACAAAGGAAATTCTTTAAGTAGCAGAAAGTACTTCTTAACATTCTTAATACAATGCCATTTATACTGACCTTAGTTTTCATTGTGTCTTGGGCTGCCATCAGTACATGCATATCAAAGGATTTCTGTGGAGCATTGGTATGGCTTGTGACCTCATCTTCTTCCACATTTTCCACTAGTAGTAGAAGGAAAAATATGGAAGACTAAATTCTAGTAAGCATTATATTAGAGCACTTTTGTAAGAAAACACACACGCACGCACGCGCGCACACACACACACACACACTCATACATATATATATGAAACAGAATTATATAGAAGGCTACCTCAGAATGAGACTCTGTAACTTACATCTGAACCAGAGAAGAATGTGCACTATGTTTCTTTCTCTTCTTTCTTTATTTGTTCTTTCAACTAATTACTGAAGTGCCAGTTTATGTGGTGTTGTCATGTACTTTGGATTAGCTCAGAAAAAAAACATAAAAATAACAATTAAAAAAAAGCATAATTTTGGAAACAACTTAGGGAACATCCTTGCACATTGGAGCTCTAAAGAGATTGGAATAACAAAAGAAAAGAAAAAAAGAAAAAGAAAAAGAAAAAAAAAGTAAGGGAAATTGTACAACTAGATTTTTCCTTTAGTTTTTGAATTCTTAAGATAACTTTTGAATCATTGATGTGCATTCCACTTTATATAATCTTATATATTGGCATTCTTCAATTAATTTAAATTGTGAGCATCTTTGCCTACATACATCATACATTTCCAAGCTTAGAATTGGCTTCATCAGCATAACCAGTATGGTGCTATTTATGTTTGTATGTGTAGTTATGTCTTATTTTGTGATAAGTTGCATTGCAGAAAAAAAAAGGCAAAATGTATGAAAAGGATTAAGTTTAATTTAGCTCTTTTTTAAAACAGACTTCAGTTGTTAGAAAATGGACAGGAAAGCTGGGGAAAGGGAGAAGCCCTCTAGGGAGATTTGCACTTTCTATACCTTTGTACTATGCACTGCCCTATTGATTCTATACTCAACAGTATTATTACTTGAACCCATCTATAAAAAAAAATGCTTATAAAATCCACTGGTGTTATATTTAAATGACACAGAACATGTTAAAAGGAAAAAAAAAATGCTTGCAGTGACGAGGAAATGCAATTACATTTTTTTCCTTTTATTCTTTCTTAGTTTTTGTTTTTTTGTTTTCCTTTTTTTCTTCTTCTTGTATTTATTTTTGTTTTTTGTTTTTTGTTTTGTTGGGTTTTTTTTGTTTGTTTGTTTGTTTTCATTTTAGTTGTTTTTGGTGCCCTGATACTTCACAGATATCAGGAGGCTACAGGTCTCATCATAACCATCTGTTAACGTGGCTTTGCCATTCAAGCTTGGAGTGTCTTTACAAAGAAAATTAAAAAAAAAAATGTGTTCTTTGCTCTTGTTTTGGATGCATAGACTGAAAAATTAAAAAAAAAAAAAAATTACCTTGTAAAATGGCTTGTTAAAAAGATACAATTACCTCTAATTAGTAGTACGCGTAAATGTTTTACAGAATTAAAGGCGTGCTTTTTATTTTCTTACTTCGTTACATTGGTGGCAAAAGAAAGTCTGTATGAAAATCAGTTCTTTGCTGACACAAGTTCCATTTGTTACAAATGAATTCTAATAAAATGTCAGTGTTATGCAGCCCTGGTCTTCTTTCTTAAGGAGTACTTTTGAAATCAAAACTTCTTTGGTCACCCTTTGTGATAAAGAATTTAATTGGAACTACAAAGTAGTCATTAATCATAGCTACTAGCTGGACAGTGGAGAGTGCATTCCTACATTAGCAAATGTATTGTCTTCAACATCAAATTTTGAGCCAATGTAAACAAAATCTTTTTTTTTTGCATATGAATTTCAGTGAAATTATCACACTTTGCACACCTAAGGAATTCCTGTATGTACTTTATAAATGTGTCATTACATTGAGAAAACAGACTATTGTCTAATCGTAATTCAAGTCAAAGAATTATATACCTTATTTGTCAGTCGTGACACTACAGTGTTCCAAAATGTTTTCAAAAACTATGAAAAAGTTTTAGATTAAAGTTACATATTTTGAGTTAGGCTGCAAGTGGCATGGCATGAAAATCCAGTCAAGGAAATAGAAAGGAGTCTTACTCTGTTTGCTTGCTTTGAAAGAGAGCTCTATCCCTAGGATTGCTTTGTTACTAAGGAAACACAGTCTATTAGCCATTCTTATGAAATACATGTTAATATAGAATGTTAATTGTCAATAAAGAATTCTCTATTCAAAAAAGATGTGCAAAGACATTGTTATACTGTCTTCTACTATCTTGCATTGTTCTTAGCCTAATTTCCACATTAAGAAGGTGGTACTAGTGTAAAAACAAAAAAGTTTATCAAGGTCTTTTTCCAGTGACTTTGACTGTGGACTTCACAATTACTTCGCAGACTACCTTCAGCTTGAGTACATTTTATACGACCAGTGCAAGGTGGTTAAAAGTTGTGGTATGCAAGATTTATTTAGATGGCTGGCTTTAGAGGGTTCCCTTTAATGTCAGTATTGATTTATTTGGATTTTGCTATTCTGTGCATCCAGCATGAGCCAAAACAAAATGAAAAAAATATTGACAAAAAAATTTGACTATATATGGATTAGTTCAATTTAAGTTAATGGATTTTAACAAGACTAGCTCTAATTCATGTTTTCCTCACACAGAAAAATATTTCTATGATAGATATCTTGAAATCATTAAAGTTAAGAAAAGCTGTTGAGATGTGAAATTACCCCTAATTAAAGGAAAACACTAGATATAGACTTTTGAACATAATAGTATTTGCAAAGCGTGCAAACAATTTCCCAGAATCTTACAAGCAAGAGAAAATTTCCACCTGAAGTTTGTATTTTTTATCCCACTGCCTTTTTCTCCCATTCTATATGAAATTGAGGTAAAAATGAGGTACTGATAAATACATACAAAGTGTAATGTAATAGACTAGTAGTCTTAGAAACTAAATAAAACCATCACTGGTTAAGAAGGGGACAGAAAAGTTGATAGAAATCATAGGGTCCTTTTTGCTTCAAATGTGAATATGAGCCTTTTCTCCAAACTTATAAGCAGGATGATCTTAAATTACTATTCTGAAATGTCTGTGGGTTTTTTTTGTTTTGTTTTGAAAGCAAATTTGCTGATCTATAAGCTGGCGTATCAGTGATAATGGAATCATTCTTCAGTAATAATTAAGACCTATATCTGTACCTATATAATCTATATCAATTTCTGTATCTACATCATCTATAACCATCATCTGTATCTTTGTAATTTATATTGTCATTGATGTCTTTATCATATATATCTATATAACACTATATAACCTGTGCAAGAAATTATTCTCTGATATTACCTTGCATTTTGATACTTTAAAATTTAGCATTCTCAGACAATCAAACTTTGATAATAGCACAGGATAAAATTGGTAAATAAATACAATCAAATTGTATCAATTGTTGCACTGCCAAAGAATATCTTTAGAAGCAGTTTCACAGGTGTGAACTAATGGTACTTTTTTCACTCTGTCACCGTACATGATGAAGTGAAAGATTGATAGGATATAAGATTTATCTACACCCAAAGAATGTCTTTAAAATCTGTGTCAATTTTTATTCTATTTTGTATTTTGTATTTTATTCCCCCCATTTCCCTTATTTTATTTCATTTTACTTTTAAGGAAGAAAATACTAATGCTTTGCTATTGACTGGAAGTATTTGGAATGTTATTTTGCTCAAAACCTGAAGCATTTGAATAATGTAGTTATACTGACATTCAAATAATTGTACTGTCTCTTTACACTATCCTGTATGTTTTAAACAAGCTTGTTCTGTCTTCCAACTCCACTTATGATTCTACCAGAGTAGAATGCAGAATATTTTTCTATCACTAATGTAATGAGTCAAGATGGTAGGAAACATCTGCTGTACGGTTTTCAAAGACTAGAATGATAACCTGCAAATGAGACATTGTAATGAAAAGAGATCATTTTGCATCTACACTATAAATAGGATGCTTAGAACCCAAAATGCATTCAGCATGCTTCTGTTAGCATTAGTCTTTATTATTATAGAGGGAAAAAGCAAGCAACCTTTATTTACCAATAAAAATAGTTCCTTATATATTCAAATTTATTATTGGATTTAGAATTCAAATCTTTTAAGTTAAAATAGCCTAGGCATACCTCTGTTCTCATCTGTGGAGACAAAGAACAAAATGTTACATTTTTTCCACTGAAATAAATTGTTCAAAAATATTATGAAGATTGCTGTACCTCTGGTCTTTGAGAATCCAATTTGGCCTCAAAGTCTAATACTGTCTAAAGGATGTAAATGAGGTTGATCTTCAGTCATGATAAACACTTTATAAACATACATTCCCATGTAGATAGCAAAAGAAAACAAAATGTAACCTAAAGGCTAGAAGAAGACAAACATATAGTTCGTATTTCTGAGTTCATAAGCTAGATCATTGTTATTGCTGGCTCAGAAGACAAACCAACATGCCATCACTACAAGTCGTCTTCGTCAGATATTATGATACTTCAAAGTAAGCGCACAAAAAAAGCTGCAAAAATTGTAGACTAATGTTACACACTCAATAATCTACAGATCACACATAATAATTATATTTCAATGACAACTGTAAAACTTCGTAAATCTGCTCCATACAAGTAAAATGTTTATCAAATTAATCAAAGTTGTCCCAAAATTTCACACTTCAAAAGAGTATTTGCAAATATTTTATATATTCACAACTTCTGTTTGAACTCTTTCTATTCCATTTTATCCATAAAAAGTTTGCTTTTCCCTTTTCATCAAGTGCTTATCTTGATAATTGACTATTTCCAAGTGGTGCTTATTAATGTTTGTGGATTATGTAGGTTTTTTGTGTTTTGTTTTTGGTTTGTTCATTTTTTTTGTTTGTTGGTTCTTTATCCCCTTTAGTTTTGTTCTTGTACAAGATAGTATTGCATCTACTGAAAATGAATACTGATAAAGAGTATATTGCCAGCTGTCATTTCAAATATTGATGTTGATCATAACTTAATCACTGACCTGGGGAGAAAATTGCAGAGGAGCTTTTCCTGCACTCCCTGTGAAGGAGAACTATGTTGATTATAGCTGTGAAGTCTGGAAGCTATTAAATGGAAAACAGAATATTACTGTCTAGAAACCCTAGATAATGAAGTCTGAGGGCTAGAGAAACAATGCAACGAATTAATTAACACTATCAGCATTCTTTTACAAAGGTTATATTCTCTTACCTATGTAGGCTATGTACAAACCTCACGACTGACAATGCTGGAGTTTTCATTAAAACCTTGCTCTTACACATGCTTCTCTTGTGGAATACCACCAGCACTGGCCTGTTTCCCCAGTGCCATCAAGGGACTTAGCTGGTCATAATATTTTTCTGATTAAAAAATTGATGTATTTAAGCAAGAATAGTTTATGTGGTGATTTTAATCTCATAATTGCTAGGAGCAAATTGCAAAATGTCTGAAAGGCAAATTGTATGCTGAAAATATGTGGGTTGTTCTCCTAAATAAATTATTACTGAAGCGAAAGTTATATATTTACTTTTCTGTTTCAGCTTTTTGGAAGAATTTTATCAAAGGAAATGTAAATAGTTCTGTCTTATTATGGCAAATGTTATAATTATATATGCCTACAGAATTATCATAGAGTTCAAATATTTAATTACATACTTGGATTTTTTTTTTTTTTCAAAAGACAGAAAAGTGTATTAAATAAACTGTTGATGATATCTACAGTGGCTTATGTTATTCTAGTATGGTCTTTATTTTGACTGCCTTCTTTTTG